CCCCCCAGAAGTATAAGAGAATGAAACAACAAGAGGGAAAGGAGCTGAGCAAAAATGTACTCTCAAGTTAAGTGTAATCTTTATCCGATCCACAGCGGTCTCTAGGACATCAGTTGCACCACAGAATTGTCCAGACTCGAGGCAAGGAATCAGGGATTTGGTATCCCAATGCCAGTTGGGCACTGGTTGCTCCTAGGGGTACAGGGTATAACTTTCTAGGTTATCAGGATGAGGTGGCCCTTGTCATCACAGTACATGCTTTGGAGGTCACAGGTCTAAGCCATTAATTGCAGTGCTAGCAGCATCTGGAGGGTGGGCACACCATTGGGTAACTCCCAAATGACTCCCAAATGACTATTTCAGTGTCCTGACAGGAAACAGTGATTGGCCAAAAAGTGCAAAATTTTTTGGTATAAATAAAAAGCTGAGATTTAAGCATCAGTCTTGGTTCAGAATTTGGCTTAGCCTCTAATTATCTGAGGAGGTTAAGGGACAGTTTATTTAATCTAGCTGAACTTGCTTCCTCATCTATGCAACAAGAAAGGCAAGAGCCCTGTCACCGGAGTTTTTGAGGATTAATTACAATAATTTATGTAGACTTCTGGCATACTACGTGCTTAAAGATTAGAAACAGGTTAACAAAACATGTTGGGTGATCATTTAAATTACTTCTCTTTATTGTGGTTCCTCTTTTTAAAGGAAACAGCCATTTGGTAGACTTAAGTTGTTTACTTTTCTCTTTAACAAGTTGAAATTTAATTGTGCTTTCCTCAATATTCCAAAGAGTTTTGTTCAGTTATATTTGGTAATTCTTATTTTTGAGAGACAGGCATTTTGGCTATTATTGGTATGCAGCAGTCATTCCAGTACAGCTGAGTAGTGAAGACAATTTCCAGAGTTTGCTCTTTTATTTAGACAACTGTCTTTGTCTCTTCTAGGAACAGATATCCACAGTTGGTGGGCAAGATACAGAATCTGGGTTGGCAGGTTCATCTGTCCCGCTTAAGAATACTAAATTTAGGAAGTGATCTGGACAAATATCTAGGCAAGCTTAGATGCTTAAGGAGACCATAGTCTTAGGGTTAACAATCCAAGAAGAATAACAAATGTGCCTTCCATCATCTTGTCTTTGGTGCTTAGAAACAAAATGCCGAGCTTCTCCTGGATCCAGCATCATTCAGATATTCTGAAAGCTTAATAAATCTTCCTTTTTTCTTAATTAATCATCCTCAACCATCTAACTTTCAGTGCATGCTTTTTCCGTGTTGCAACACAGACTAGAATAACTTCCACACTAGAATAGTTTCATAGAGGGAATCATTTGGTGTTTTTATGTATGTTAGTAAACCCAGGGGTGCCTGAGTGGGTTCAGTTGTTTAAGCGTCTGACTCTTGGTTGCATCGGGCTATGTGCGAACAGCACAGAGCCTGCTTGGGATTCTCTCTCCCCCTCTCTCTCTGCCCCTACCCCCCTCACGCTGTCTCTGTCTCTCTCAAAAATAAATAAGTAAACAACAAAAAAAAATTTTTTTTAAAAGAAAGAAAACCCAGGATTAGGGAAAAGGAGTTACCATTGAAATATGGTAATTGTAATTATAATTGTAATTGTAATTATAGGGACCAAGCTCTTGAGTATTTTCACACTTGGAGACTCATATTACTCTATTCTGGTTAGACCATGTGCTATCTGGAAAGACATTTAATTTTTGAGATTAAAAAAAAAATCCATTCTTCTATGGGCAATTTATACCTACTTCTGATTAAAGAAACCACTTCCCAAACAGATACCACTTCTCAGATGTTCTATTTTCTGTCATGCTATGCCTTCTAATTCCTGTGGAACCCACCACAGACACTATGCATCATGGGCAGCAGTCCCTTTTACCTTTTTGCTTTTGGTTACTTGGAGAGGAATCGTGAACATATCCAGAAAGGAACTCATCATGTGCCCCATCTGGACAGCAAGAGAATCTTGGGATTACAACAGTAACTACATACACAATTCCAGAGGGCTCTTCCATCAATCTCCAGACTCTTCTCCCCAAGAAGACGGAAAGCTTACCCTATCAGAGCTGTGCTCAGCACTTGGTCTTCTGGTCACTCCCCCAGCCCCTCCCCTTTAGTGACACGTAACTGAGACTTTGCCAAGGCTTTGACTTACGCACCATTTCAATTGTTATTTAGAGATCTTTTCTTCATATCGATTCAAGGGTCTGGAAGCACTGAGCCCCAGTGTGGCACCTCTGAGACTGTGCCATGCCTTCCAAGTTGCAGAGCGCTTTCCCAGCACTGTGTCTCTTTGGGGTCTTGACCTTACTTCTGTGCCCTTCTGGCTTGTGTGGTGAGTACAATAGTTACGGGGAAAGGAGGGTAGTCTCTCTAAGATGTGGAGGACAAATATCTAATAAAGAACTAACTGAATATAGTCAAGTAGTGGTAGTTCGTAACCTTTTTGAGAGAGTATAATCAACTATATACTAATAAAAATGAAGAATTTTAAAATATAAAAGAAATTATTTTAATTCAGGTAGAAGCTGTGATTATGTCTAGAATAAAAACACGTTGATATGCAAAAATCCTTGTGAGGCTGCTTTAGCAAGGAATAATCTTGAATTTTCAAATCCATGTCTTATATTTAAATACTGCAAAATGCTTAAGACGAATTTACTTTCCAAATAGGTTAATTGTGGCATCCAAAATCTTAGTTACTGACTGATTAGAAATAGTTTCCATCCAAAAAGCAAAAATATTTTCTGTTGTCAGGTGGTTTGAGAGAGTTTAATGCTCAGCGAAATCATCAGTCAGAGAAAGACAAATACCATGTGATTTCACTCATGTGTGGAAAGAAAGAAAGAAAAAAAGAAAGAGGGAGGGAGGAAGGAATAAAGAAAAGGAAGGAAGGAAGGAAGGAAGACAAAAGAAAGGAAGAAAGAAAGAAAGAAAAGAAGGAAAGAAGAGGGAGGGAGGAAGGAAGAAAGAAAAGGAAGGAAGGAAGGAAGGAAGGAAGGAAGGAAGGAAGAAGGAAAGAAAAGAAAAGAAGGAAAGAAAGAAGGAAAGAAAGAAAGAAAGAAAGAAAGAAAGAAAGAAAGAAAGAAAAAAGAGACAACTAAAAAACAGACTGCTAAGTATAGAGAACAAACTGATGGTTACCAGAGGGGAGAGGGATGCAGGCAATGGTTAAACAGGTGAAGGGATTAAGAGCACACTTATCATGATGAGCACTGAATAACGTAGAGAACTGTTGAATCACTGTATTGTATACTTGAAACTAATATAACACTGTATGTTAACTACACTGGAATTAAAAACTAATAATAAATAAAAATTTTAAAATGTATTTTCTGTTACCAAATACTGAGTAAATTTTCTAGAGTAAAATTATAGGGCACTTTGTGAACTGTAAGCCATCGTATAAATGTGACGCATTGTTATTGAAATGTACAGAAGTTTTTACCAGAATGAGAAACAAAAGTGTTTGAGAGAACTTACCAGAACTGATTGAAGACCTGCTGCTATGATAATTAATTTATTGGTATGTGAGGGGTGCCCGGGTGGCTCTGTCGCTTAAACGTCGGGCTCTTGACTTCAGCTCAGGTCATGATCTCACAGTTCGTGGGTCCGAACACCCCCCTGCATCGGGCTCTGTGCTGACAGTGAGGAACCTACTTGGGATTCTCTTTTCCTCTCTCTCTGCCCCTCCCTCGTTTGTGTGCTCTCTCACTCTCTCTCTCTCTCTCTCAAAATAAATAAACTTAAAAAAATTTACCTCGGGGCGCCTGGGTGGCGCAGTCGGTTAAGCGTCCGACTTCAGCCAGGTCACGATCTCGCGGTCCGTGAGTTCGAGCCCCGCGTCAGGCCCTGGGCTGATGGCTCAGAGCCTGGAGCCTGTTTCCGATTCTGTGTCTCCCTCTCTCTCTGACCCTCCCCCGTTCATGCTCTGTCTCTCTCTGTCCCAAAAATAAATAAACGTTGAAAAAAAAAATTAAAAAAAAAAATTTACCTCTATGTTATTTAAATGGAAATGTCCTTTAAGCAAAGTGAGATTTTCCTCTTTTGTAATCTAATATTATTTTTTTTTTTTGTCTGAGAGAACTAATGTTTCACATTTAAAAGTATTTATAAACATACTCTCTGAAAGGATTTTCATGGCCTGAAGACTGAGGACTTGAGATGGCTTGGCTGGAAAATCCCAACCCAGAGCAAGGGCTGCATGTTCTTACTGATTAAGAGTGTAGAAGCCATGCTTTCTTCGTCACTGAGAGTGGTGGTGGGGGGGGGCGTGGAAAGCGTGGGTTTACTAAGGAAGCATCCTTCTCTGGAGGATGACTTCTCACATCAGATGCATGAAAATTGTTGGGTGGCAGTATTAATTTTAGGTTGTAGAGTGGATGCAGGATAAAGAACCTCGTGCTCGGGGGATTTTTAGTTTTCCAGCTTCATCTCTGAGTCCCTCTCTCTTGGAGTCGGAGGCAGCAGGGGAAGGCCCCGTCAAATTTGTCAAGTCTCCCAATGATTTCTTCATGTGTCCATTTCCCTCCCCCTCTCTCTGCTGTTGCCTCCTCTCTTCCTGCTCCCTATGGCCCCAACCCTCTGAAATGGTATATAATGTCTGTCCGCTCTGACTTGAACCTCCCTTCCTTCACGGTAATAAGCTTCTGATGCCAGACTTGGCTCATTGCCTCCGTAGGACGCTGCCTCGCCTATCTTATCAACCACTCAGCTTTCACCCGTCCTTCAGGATGTATCTCCAGCTTACACCTGGAGGCCTTCCCTCCATTCTGCCAACACCTTCTCCTACAGCACTAGTTTCCGGTCCTACAGCACTCGTTTCCGGCCCGAATCTGGCGCTGCAGTGACTGGGACAGTGGTATAACTCCGCATGCGGCGACATCTTACCTTGCTAAGTACGTTGCAAGTATGCTTCCTTAATATTACCTGAAGAGCCTGAGCTACAAAACTCCCTCTGTATGTTTATTCATAAAAATGAAGAGCTATTCTTGATATTTCTATGGAGGTGCTTGATCTGCAGTTCAAGGAAAGCTCTGTGGAAGCTGGTGACTTACACAGGCCGATTCCTTTTCCTCGTAACAAAAACAGGACTGACTTTGGGATTCCTATGCCTATGCTTTCTGAACGCCTCAGAGTTGCAGCTTTGCGAACAGCAGAGGTAAGGGAGACAGTACTCGATCTGAGCCGAGTCTTGCCAGCAAGAGTGTTTCGGGCGTGCTGTCCCGCCCGTGTTTTTGTTGTTGTTTCTTGGTGGAGCCTTCATCACAATGGCTGAGGATCTGCTAAGTGCAGTCCCCTGGTCGGCTTGATCCCGTATCCATCTCCAGTACTGGCTGATCACTTCCTCTTTCCTGTCTCCTAAATACCTGGTGACTCCTGGAGATTTTATCTACACAGAGGCTTTCTTCCCACCTCCAGGGCTCCCTCTACACGGGCCTGAAGACACCACCACCAGGGCTGTCTTTTTCATGCGGCCCATTTCCAATTCACCGGAAGTATGCATTCATCCCTTGTCCCGAATAATGTCAGGAGTACAGGCCAATCTCAAGGCAGCAGAAATCTGTCCTTCTCTCTCACCAGCGGGGCCACTAGGCAGCCCACCTTTGCAGTTTCGATTTCCCAGGCAGGAGCTCGACACTAGGCCTCTGTGTCTAATGTCCCCCCGAGTTGAAAAGAGATGTATTGGGCTTTCTCAGTGGGCCCTGTCACTGCGAAGGAGAAATGCACCCACCTCATTTGACTCACCCGAGACTAATTTAAATGGCAAAAATGAAATTCCTAATCTTTTCGTGCCTTTGGTTTGGGCAAAGGAGTTGAGGGTTTTCTAACTGATTCTGAGCCACCAAGTTCATTATGAGATGCCACTTGTCTTTGCAAAAAATAAGAACAAAGACTTCCGTTTGATGGCCTTTACATACCCACTGATGCCACGTAGAATAAGTATCCAATGATCATGGCAGAGAAAAGAAAATAACAGTATTCCAGTAAGTACCCTTGCACTTGGAGGCAAACCTTACTTCAATGTCTAAATTCGATTCCTGTTGCAAGCACTTACTAGCTGTGACCTTTGGCAGAACATCTGATCCCTCTAAGATTGTGTTTCCTTTTCTCTAGAATGGGTTTGATGATCATAGTGACTCAGCTGGTGTGAGCGTTAAATGGTATAACATATAAAATGGTTAACCCAGTGGCTAGCAAGTTGCTAAGACCTCGGCAAATCATTCCTGTTGATTTTGTCAAGGAAATAAAATACCCCTCTACAGTATAACTTAATGACTTCCTTCTATGAAACAGGAAGAGTCCCTCATTCGGAATTGTTCATTATATTTGGCTCATTGCCTTCCACCCTTCTCTTTTATCATTCAAGATTGCAAAATGTTCCCAAGCGTTGCCCATGGATTCCATAAAGACGTGAGCTCATTTTTCTCCTTTACTACTGCGGTGCAGTATAAATGCAATGAAGGTTACGTTCTGGTTGGACAGTCCAAAATCACCTGCAGAAACTCCCGCTGGTCGGCTTCGGCTCCTGAATGTAAAGGTAACCTCAACTTTACTGATGACCCTGACTAAAAAAATGTAGAGCCTCCAGGAAAGTTCTGACTGTAGCGTCTCTTCCCAGCCAGGGGAAACACTTAGAAATTTTTATTTTATTTATCGACTCATTAACACATGCATATATACAATATTTTAAAAGTCTGAACCATCATCCAGCTTGTCACTCTTGAAGTAACCGTTGTTACCAATTGTGTATGTTTTCAGAGGTAATCTAGAGGGCCACTTTTAGCTTTTTTTTTTAAATTATTTTTCAATGTTTATGTATTTTTGAGAGAGAGAGAGAGAGAGACAGAGCATGAGTGGGGGACGGGCAGAGAAAGAATCCGAAGCAGGCTCCAGGCTCCGAGCTTCAGCCCAGAGCCCGATGCGGGGCTCGAACTCACAGACCACGAGATCGTGGCCTGAGATGAAGTTGGACGTTTAGCCAACTGAGCCACCCAGGCGCCCCTGCTTTGTTTCCATGAAAGTTTTACCTGAAATGTAACATACTACAGAAAAGTGTACCAATGTTGGGTGTGAAGGTCAACAATTATCACAATGTGAACCTGACCTTGACACACCGCATGGCTCTCTTCCCCAAAGACGGTTGCTATGCCCATTCTACGTGTAGAAGTGCTGACGACACTGACTGCACCTTGTTCCTGTTCCCTTGATGACCTCTCTTGGGGCTATGTGTTTCAGGCCTGTTGAAGATGACTAAACATACCTTAAAAGTGCCCTCCAAGGCCGGTACAGGGGGAGGCTTGCTTTGGCCTTTCACGAATCTTAGAGATAAAAGTCTTTCCTCTTCCTAAAGTCTAGATAGCACCACAAGATCTGCTTAAACGTTAGCTGTCAGTTAGGTGCTTTGAACCCTTTGATCTTACTATAGTGGCCTGTACTACGATGCCCTCTCGCTCTAAAGAAATCTGTGGACTGAAGTCCAGACTTTTTTGAGAATTGCTGTGCAGGGCCTGGATCGTCGTCTGCCTGATTCCGCCCCGCCCCCCGAATCAGTAAGGTACCCTCAATAAAATTCTGTGTGAACTGTATGGAATGGCCTGCTTTGTTTTTTTTTTTTTTTTTTGGTTGGTCTCAATGTAACTTTTCAGCCTGGGGGATACTTTACTGTCCCTCTCGCACCTTCCAACACTATGGATTAGTTTTGCCAACTTTATACAGAGGAGGTCATGCTTGTCTTTGGTGCGTGGCTTCTTTCTTCATTAGGTCTGGAAAACCATCTATGTTCTTACGTATAGTGATAGTTTATTCATTTCCGTTACTTTATAATATTATTTTGGGTGAATAGACCACACTTTATGTACTTTATAAACGTTTGAGGTTTTTCATGTTTTGGGCCATTATGAATAATACTCTCAGGAACACTTTTGTGCATGTCTCTTGGTACAAATGTGCAAACCTTTCTATTAGGAATAAACTCAGGAGTAAATTGCTATTTTGTAGAGTGTACATATATTCGTGTTTAGTAGATGACGTCAAATTTTGTCCGAAAGCGGTTATAACAATTTACATTCATACATGAGTTCTAAATTCCAATTTCGATAAACATAAGTTTTAAATCCCAATTTATTTCCATTTTCCAGTATCTTCCTTGGTATTGGAAACTTTTGTGTCTTGTTGAAGAAATATTTGCTCACCACAAGGCAACAGCCTATACAACAACAAAACACAACAAAAATACTCTCCTGTGTTGTCTTACAGGTCTTTACTGTTTCACCTTTCACACTGATATTGCCAACCTACCTGAAATTCCTATGCATCTGTGGTAGAGAGTGGGGTTCAAAGTTTGGTTTTCCCTGGTGGATAATCAATAAGCTGTGTGCCACTTATTAAACGGGCCATAGGTTCCACAACTGCTGCCTTTGACATAATCCAAGTGTCTATGTGTGTGTGGTTCTGTTTCTTGCACAGAGAGATAGCAGTTTTTAATTTGAAAGTATCAGTGAGGATTTCCCAACATTTCTGTGAGTACCTGCTTCATTTTCAATGACTGTTCTTATGGATAAATTCGAAACCTCCCCGGGGTGTCTGATATCTCCATCAGAGCCTCACACATCCCGTTCATCTTCTCGTAATGAAATTGGCCTAACAGGAGATTTCTGGTTGACCACCAAAATTAGGTGTGCCTTGTAAAAATCACACTGCAAATAGCAACTCAAGGGGCTAATTTCTCACCATTGTCTTCACTTAACACAGAAAGGGGTCAAGGGTATGCGAAGAAAAATTACGTAGTTGAGATCATAAGAAGAGTGAGGTTTCCAGATAAAGTAGTTTTAAAAACTCAGATTCCGGCGCCACGTACTTAGGCTTATATTATAGTCACGCCAACTAAAAGCTATGCAACCTTAGACAAGTCACATAAAGTCTCTGCACCTAGTTTTTCCTTCTAGCAAAATAGAAACAATAATAGCGTTTTACATGATTGCTTTTCCTCTCTAGTCCAATGGAGACAATCACAGTGTTTTATGTTGACGATAGTGTGTAAACTAGCATTATTCTCATTACCAATTTTATTGTCATAATCATACAACAAAGGGAGACAAAGCACAACTCTCAGCATGCGGGTATAATTTACCATCCGTGTTTCTCACCCCCTCGGGATTCTTCGCTTTCGTAAGATCTTACTCACAGGATGATCAAAACTGTGTTTCCATTCCAGCCCTGTGTCAGAAACCAGAGATAAAGAATGGAGACCTGACTGTGCCTAAGCACCAGTACGTTGAGCCTGAAAATGTGACCGTCCGGTGTAATGATGGCTATGATATGGTTGGTTCCCCAAATCTTACCTGCTCCGGGAACGGAATGTGGTTGCCAGCAGTGCCCAAGTGTCAGTGGGTAAGTGGCACACATTTCAGGATGTCCCATCCCATTCTAAAACTGGTCATCGGTGGCAGAGCACTGTCAACCCACATGGATGAGATCTGACTTCGACCCGGACTCATTTCTGAGTTGTCGAAAATCAGCCTCAAAGCACTTGATGAGCTCGTTAAAGCAAGTTCTAATTCTCTCATCTTTCTGGCAAGAACCAAGCCCCTCGGTAGGAGGGTTCCGTAGATCCAGGTCACCCGGCCCCTCGCGCCATGTTTTCTACAACGCGTGCTATGACTTTGCCAGTTGTCCCTGAAGAAGCCTCCGGATGTCTTCTGCAGGCTTGCTCCTTCCCTGCTTTAGCAGTTATTTATTCGCCGTGGATGGGGAGGTCTGGGCGAGTGCTGGGCCCTAGGGCGAACACCCTGCTGAGACAGAGAATCTTTTCATTTCTTCCACCAGCCCCGAGGATGGTCGCGTTACTCCCATTCTGCTGTCACCACTGCGGCCTCCTGAAGAAATCTTAATACTTTCACAGTTGGAGAGAAATCTCTGAATCTATCCTTGGATCTCTTTTAGGTAGAGCAGATGGGCTGTGAGCAAGTGCTAAAAGGCAAAAAGCTCCTGGAATGCCTCCCCTCCCCGGAGGATGTGAAAATGGCCCTGGAGGTGTATAAGCTGTCAGTGGAGATTGAGCGCCTGGACAAGAGTTCGGCTTGAGGGGAATGCCGTTGAGAAACCAGTACGTCCACACCCCCCGTGCCTGCTGCCTCCCTGCAAAAAAGAGAGAATTAGGTACATTTTTCCATTAGCAACCCTACTAATTGTTCCTTAAGTACTGTTTACTAAAAAAAAAAAAAAAAAAAAAAAAAGAAAAAAAGACCTGTCTTAGGAGAATCTGTTGATATCCTTAGTGCCACCGATCATGTGGAGCTATGGGTCTGTCTCTTTGCTCAGCCTACGCTTCTGCTGTCCTGGATGTGATGGCATGACAGAAATAAATAATCACCTGTCAAAAATCCAGTGTCCTTGTTTTCACTTGGATGCCCGTGTAACGAAAGCGTAACGCCCCGTACAAATCACTTCCTAACGTTTCTCTAATTAACTCTCGTCTCTATTATATGGCATCACAAGGTGTATGTAGTCCTCAAAAATATATCCCTGTGCCTTGTGTGAGGTATCTTTACCCGCCCTCTCCACTTCGTACTCCGCCTTCAGTGCCCAGGCCAAACATCTCATTTTCCTCCAAGTCTTCTGCTTTCTTTCCCTAGTGGTTTAGCCTTGACCCAGAGAGAACTCTGGACGACGAATTTGCTGAACTTTTGTCCCAGGTAAGTTTTTCCAGGGAGAGGAACTGGGTTGTCATTGTGCAGCACCTGTCTGTTATTGGCGAAGAGCCACCCTGGGGGCCTACGAGCTCCTCGGCCACCCAGCTCTCTCTGGGGGACAAACTGTCTAGCCGCCTGAAGGGAGTCTCCCCAAGAGAATAGAAGGCCGGACCCTGAGAAGCCAGAGCCCAGGGAAGCCTGTAGAGGAGCACACAGAAATGGGAGAAAGGACCGAAGGGGCTGGAGAAACTCCTCAGTGGCTTGTCCGTCAGATGTTCCCCTTACAGCTCTGGACACTCTTGGGAAATGTTCATTTGGGACAGTCACCTCTTCTTCCAATCATTCACGTCCTCTGAAATCTCATTGCCACCCATGCTTGCTTCACCCCGGCCTCTGCTTCTCCACCGCATCTTGATCCATAATAGAGAAAATCTCTATTCTTTTCTTTGGTTGTGTCAAAACAGCTGCCACGTGAGAAAGTTTCATAGCAGACTTTTATAAAGCTTTAGACTTAACAGAGGGGTATACGGATGGCTACCCATGACTGGACTTCCACACTGAATGTTCCAGAACTGTGATTTTAAAAGACCGTTGCTTTTCCCTTCCACCAGGGAATATCTTCTGGCTGATTTTCTCTGCATGACCTTGTCAGCCTCGAGGCCATTCCAGTCCGACACTTTCCCTTCTCAAATCTCTCCTCGTCGAACTTCATCCGTTCTCGCTCCCGCTGTCCTGGAAACTCGTTTCCCTTCACTTTATTAGGGAAAGCATTTAGCTCACCATCTTTCCCTAGTCTCAGTCGGGGTTTTTACCCCAAAACTCACGAATGTGTGAAATAAACAAAGAGTCACCCATTCCAGGCATGGGCCCCACGCTGTAGAGAAGATGCAGAAGAATCTCTGAAATAACGAATCTTTCGGTATTTCCTTTCCCGCAGTCTCTAGGGAGGACAGTGTGGAGACATTTTCACACCGATGTGAATTATGCCACAATCTTTGTATTTGTGAATTCTAAATTAATTACACATAATTATAATCCGGGAACACACACACACAGAGCAATTCAAACCTTACAAAGGTGTATATAAAAAATAAAAATGAAATTCTTCTCTCCTTCTGAGTCCTATTCTGTTTTGGGTTTTTCTACTGGTGAGATTAATCATTCTGAAGAGGAAGCACACACTATATGATTTGACTTGTTCTCTCTGAAGCGTATATGTTGATTTCCTGCTACAAAATGATCAATCTAGCACTGACTTTTCCCCTCGCCTCTCTTTCCATCCGTCTCATTTAATTTTATAGTCTCTTATTGATGACTTATCTTTATGGCTTTAAATAACTCATTTAAACCTCCATTATTTATACAACTTTAATTTTCAGTAGCTTACCGTCTTATTAAGGGAATGCAAGCAGGTAATTAAAAAGTCAAATAATCCAAAAACTCTTGTAATGAAAACTCTAGTACTCCGACCCACCCAATCCCATCCTTTGGTCATTTGCCCCCCAAATAACCACTTTCAACACCTTTAGCTCTTTCTTAGGATATTTATCTACAGATTTCCAAATAACACTCTCATTCCCCTTATGCTTATTTATTATTTTTCATTATGTTTTGGCTCACTCTCAAGAGAGACTAGAGGTTAGGTCCTTTCCAGTGTACCATCTTTCCTCGATATACTTGTATCCGACTCCTTGATTCAATTAATAGTCAGGGTTTACCTTATTGTGACTGAGCAAATCTTAAGCTTTGCTAACCCAAGGGAAGCCAAGCAATGATTTGTGAATGTATTTCCTTACAAGAAAATGCTTTACTTTTTATGGCATCTTGGTTTTTGGTTAAGTTTTCTGTTGTTGCCGATTCTTGCCACATGCTCCCATTGATTTTTTAGAGTCTAGCGCTATATTTCTTTTCTTTCCTGTTTTTAAATAAATTTTGTATCCTGAAAACTTAACCAGAAGGAGGATATATTTATTTTGGGGGGGGGTTATTATTTTATTTTATTTTATTTTTTAAATATAATTAATAGTCAAGTTGGCTAACATACAGTGTATACAGTATACTTTTGGTTTTGGAGGGAATCAAGATTCCCTTGATTTGTCACTTAAATACAAGACCCAGTGTTCATCCCAACAAGTGCCCTCCTCAAAGCCCATCACCCATTCTCCCCTCTCCTCTGCCCCTCCCCCTATCAATCCTCAGTTTTTCCTCTGTATTTAAGTGTCTCTAATGGTTTGCCTCCCTCTCTGTTTGAAACTATTTTTTCCCATTCCCGTCCCCCATGGTCTTCTGTTACGTTTCTCAGGTTCCACATATGAGTGAAAACATATGATATCTGTCTTTCTCTGACTGACTTATTTCACTGAGCATAATACTCTCCAGTTCTGTCCATGTTGCTGCAAATGGCAGCATTTCATTCTTTCTCATTGCCAAATAGTATTCCATTGTATATATAAACCACATCTCCTCTATCCATTCATCCACTGATGGACATCTGGGCTCTTTCCATGATTTGGCTCAAAATGGATGAAAGGCCCAAATGTGACACAGAAAACCATCAAAACCCTAGAGGAGAAAACAGACAAAAACCTCTTTGACCTCAGTCTCAGCAATTCTTGCTTGACGCATCTCTGAAGACAAGGGAAATAAAAGCAAAAATGAACTATTCGGACCTCATCAATATAAACAGCTTCTGCACTGCAAAGGAAACGATCAACAAAACTAAAAGGCAACTGACGGAATGGGAGAAGATATTTGCAAATGACATATCAGATAAAGGGTTAGTATCCAAAATCTATAAAGAACTTACCAAACTCAATACCCGAAAAACAAATAATCCAGTGAAGATAATGGGCAGCAGACATGAATAGACACTTTTCCAAAGAAGGTATCCAGATGGCCAACATACACATGAAAAGATGCTCAACATCACTCATCATTACGGAAATACAAATCAAAACCACGTTGAGATACCACCTCACACCAGTCAGAGTGGCTAAAATGAACAACTCAGGAAACAACAGATACTGGCGAGGATATGAAGAAACGGGAACCCTCTTGCACTGTATATGGAAAAGCAATCTAGCGCTCTACTTCTGAATGCTCAGACACGTCAGGTGTCAATTTCAGTTCCACCCCCCTTCCTGCCCTCCACCCCAGAGATTTCCTTTCTGGGTCCCCTATTCAGTGGTTCTGAAATGAACTTTTTACTTTTAAAAAGTTTTTAAAAAATGTTTATTTATTTTTAAGAGAGAGAGAGAGAGAGAGAGACAAAGTGTGAGCAGGGGAAGGTCAGAGAGAGACAGAATCTGAAGCAGGCTCCAGGCTCTGAGCTGTCAGCACAGGGCCTAATGCAAGGCTCAAACTCACGAACCATGGGATCATGACCTGAGCTGAAGTCAGACACTTCACCCGACTGAGTCACCAGGGCATGCTTCCCGTTTTATTTTTAAATGGGGCATGTATCTATAGGTCTTTTTAGGGGGATGCTCAGTGTCTCCTGGGATTTCTATGATCCCCTCCATATTGATCTATCAACCTTGTTCCTTTCTCTTGAGTTTTTACTACATAAAAACTTTGATTCTGTTGATTCTGTTGAACATCTTTGACCACTACCCATCGAAGGCAGAACTAACCTTTGCCATACAATGCACTTACCATTTCATCTGTGGGCTTTGTTCACAGTAAGTGTTCAATAATCATTTCATAAAGGGATGTTTGGAGTTACATGAGCTAAGACTTAGTACAAAAGATCAATTTTTTAAATTCTCTGCTGAATGTAATTCCCTCTATGATAACACAAACCAAAAACAAGTAATCTGCTCCTTTTCTGGGTTTAACAGAAAAGCCCAGGGCTATGAAAAGGGCCAAGAATAGCCAAAATTATCTGGAAACAAAACAAAGCTGGAGGACTAATACTGCTAGCTTTCAAGACTGGTTATAAAACTAGATTAAGACAGTGTTGGTACAAATAGAATCAAGCTGATATATAAAATTTATATTTACCTTAAAATAGCCACCATAATTATGACAAATTTGACTCTTCAGTGTGGTGGGGACGGATGCTTTTTTCAATTCATATTTTCTACATCAGTTGGAAAGCTACGTGAAAAAATTATACCTTGATCCTTACCTTACCCTGCCCCCAAGAAATCCAAAGTGGAATATAGGTCTACATGTGAAAGGTAAAAAATAAATAACACATATAGAAGATTATGTTCATGATCTTAAAGTAGGCAAGCATCTCTTCTATACAACAATATAAAAAGCAATATGAAAAAAGTTATAAATTATCCAATTTTAAAATAAACATTTCTGCTCATTTAAAGACACAATAAAGGCTTTCCAAATAAGATGTAAAAACGGCCAATAAGCCCATGAAAGGATACTCAGGGTCATTAGTCATTAGAGAAACACATATCAAAGCCACAATAACACCACAGTTCCCATCCTCGACGATGATGTTCATACATTGTCAGTAGGAATGGAAAATATTGTAGCTGTTATGAAAACAATTTGGCAGTTCCTTGAAAAATTAGATTACTATA